ATGAAGATGGTGGTGGTGATGCTGCTGATGCTGCTGCTGATGCTGCTGCTGATGATAGTGATGATGATGATGATGGCGATGATGATGTTGATGTTGATGGTGATGATAATGGTGATGGTGATAGTGATAACGATATTACGGATGATGGTGATACTGTTGACATAGTTGTTTGCTGTAACATTGCACTGGTAGAAGAATTGACCCCTAACGTGGTATTAGCTGTAGATGTTAAAATAAATCCAATGTTATTTTGTTCCTTGATTATGCAGTTAAATATAAAGTTGCAGATTCATTTAAAGACAAACCCAATCTTGTGCTTGCGTGACTGATATTTTGCATCACTGGTATGTCATATTGCGTGACTAATATGTCGTTTAGCGAATCTGACTTGTCCGCATCTATTTTTGTTTGTTTGTTTTTATTTAGCTTTAACTTCACATCAATTTAAAAATAGATTAAAATACACAAATTACAAGTAGTGGGATAAGTAAGGGATACCGTGGGATGTCGTCACAGGTTTCCCGCCCAAACGACTGTAACTGATTATCAAAAATATTCACGGAAAAAATATTCAAATGAAAATATTTCGCATGCAATTTATTCAAATAAATAAAGCCATATAGATGAACTGCCGCTCTTGGGATTAATGTCAGAATAAATATGTTTAAATAATAAAAATGTCACACAAGAATTGACGTCCCGATTGTTTGACCCACAATGCTTTGCTTGTTCGACTCGTTCAAGCAGATATATAAGTCTTATTGGAGGTAGAATGGCGCTTCAGACAATCATTCTCCTATTCCACAATTCTCCGTTTTAGATAATTTTAAATTGTTTCTTAACGTGTTAATTATTTTATATATCTATATAAATATAATTGGGGTATTAACACACTCGCCCCACCTCTAATATGCTAGGAATGTAGGGTTTTCGTCTCTATTTCAGGTGTGATGAACACAGAATAATAAATAATAAAATAAATAAAAAATAAAGCTAAGAATTTTAATAAAAAAGGTTTCACTTTCATATGAGGAATTTAATTGTTAATTATATAAGAACCTCCCATTATTATTATATATATTTTCCAGAGTAAATATTTGCAATCATGAAAAATAATAATTCAGAATTGAAGATACAGCTTACTTTAAGACAGGAAAAAAAGTTGGCATTTATCCTACAATTTCAAGCAATTCCATCAATAAAGATTTAAGAACAAACTATTCACGATACCATTGTATACTTCAAAGCTTATAGTTTCAATCTGATTATAATCAAAAATTAAGGATTTTAGTATATTTTTACTCAAAGTTTAGCAATTCTATTGCCATGTTTCAACTATTAAGGCGGAAGCTTAGACATTATTTCCAACTCTTAACTTACCAATCGTGGTTGAATTGTTGTTGCAAGAGGCATCGTCAAACAGCACGACCAAAACAAAAATAACGAAGCACTTGTGAACGTTCATGATGAAATTCCTCGATAAATTTCAGTCGAC